AGGGTGCAACCGAACGCGCATGCGCAACACCATTGTGGTTATTTTAACATAGTTGGACAGCCAATGTAACCAGTTCAATGTTTCCAAAAGTTTTCAAAAGATTTGGTCACTGAAAAGTGTTTCAAAAGACCTGCACATTTACTCCAAAAGCGAAAATTGGCGCGTTTCTCAAACACACAATGTAGAACAATGTCTTGTCCGTTTGATGACTTGCATGGCCTTTTGCTGGAGAGGTGAAAAACACGTTTTTCTTAAATATTAAGCGATTTTCGTGCATGATGGCTCGTTGGAAAGCTCTTGAAATATTTTGACGTTTGATACCAAATCCGAAAGACATATAATAGGTGGTTAGGGAAATACAACCGTTCGAAGGTGTCCAAATTGACGTCAGATGCCTCTGTTAGGGTGCTACCGAACGCGCATGCGCAACACCATTGTGTGTTTTTTTAACATAGTTGGACAGCCAATGTAACCAGTTCAATGTTTCCAAAAGTTTTCAAAAGATTTGGTCACTGCAAAGTGTTACAAAAGACCTGCACATTTACTCCAAAAGCGAAAATTGTCGCGTTTCTCAAACACACAATGTAGAACAATGTCTTGTCCGTTTGATGACTTGCAAGTCCTTTTGCTGGAGAGGTGAAAAACACGTTTTTCTTAAATATTAAGCGATTTTCGTGCATGATGGCTCGTTGGAAAGCTCTTGAAATATTATGACGTTTGATACCAAATCCGAAAGACATATAATAGGTGGTTAGGGAAATACAACCGTTCGAAGGTGTCCAAATTGACGTCAGATGCCTCTGTTAGGGTGCTACCGAACGCGCATGCGCAACACCATTGTGGTTATTTTTACCATAGTTGGACAGCCAATGTAACCCGTTCAATGTTTCCAAAAGTTTTCAAAAGATTTGGTCACTGAAAAGTGTTTCAAAAGACCTGCACAATGTCTTGTCCGTTTGATGACTTGCATGGCCTTTTGCTGGAGAGGTGAAAAACACGTTTTTCTTAAATATTAAGCGATTTTCGTGCATGATGGCTCGTTGGAAAGCTCTTGAAATTCTAAGACGTTTCATCCAAATCCGAAAGACATCTCTCTCTCTCTCTCTCTCTCTCTCTCTCTCATATGATCAGTGAAAAGTAAATAGTATATATCATCCTGTTCAAAAAGACAACACTAAATATTGGAAAAACTTGGACACTTTTAATTTACTCAATAGATGTACTTTTGACAAAATCGTCAATTCTCACACAAGATCATCCAAACACAGCTGCCAGATCTCTCAATCCACATTTCATCTTACTCTATGAAAGCTGCTGGCCGAACGACTGATTCTGATTTGGTGTGGTTGTTGTTGACATCCTGTAGGCTCGCGCCAGCACTCTCAGAGTTGCAAAGTAGTTCTTTCTGAAACCAGTTCAGACTTCAGATAAAATAATATCCATTTACTTCAATGAAAGTAGTGAATATATTGTCAACAAGAAAAGTAAAAAATAATATCCAAGCATCTTGCAAGTGTTAATGGAAGTGGTTTGTAGTTGTTTGGTAACAAAGGCTTACCTTTCCTATAAATTGGCTTCATTACACCCCATTTAACCAACAATTGTTCTGGTGTCTTACCAGTATAAAATATTATTTTGAAGAATTTAAGCTAAACAGTCATCTTTTCGCCTTATAATGCCGACGTGCCGTCAAATTTTAACTCATTCCCTTTCAGGTTGACACAAGCCGACTTGGCGAGGTTCCTAGCTGTCGGACGGGCGCTCGTCTGAGTGATTGGACCCAAGCCGGGTCGGGTGGTCCCTTGCCGGCGTTTCCCTCGCCGGCTGCTCCCGGGCCAAAATCCGCCTTTGTCCGGCGCAGGCGCACTCGTGGATTTTGGGGTTACGCGAAAAGCAAATGTTTCCCAGGGACCTTTTTTATTTGTATTTATTTATTTATTTTTCTCTCTCTCTCTCTCTCTCTCTCTCTCTCTCTCTCTCTCTCTCTCTCTCTCTCTCTCTCTCTCTCTCTCTCTCATATGATCAGTGAAAAGTAAATAGTATATATCATCCTGTTCAAAAAGACAACACTCAATATTGGAAAAACTTGGACACTTTTAATTTACTCAATAGATGTACTTTTGACAAAATCGTCAATTCTCACACAAGATCATCCAAACACAGCTGCCAGATCTCTCAATCCACATTTCATCTTACTCTATGAAAGCTGCTGGCCGAACGACTGATTCTGATTTGGTGTGGTTGTTGTTGACATCCTGTAGGCTGGCGCCAGCACTCTCAGAGTTGCAAAGTAGTTCTTTCTGAAACCAGTTCAGACTTCAGATAAAATAATATCCATTTACTTCAATGAAAGTAGTGAATATATTGTCAACAAGAAAAGTAAAAAATAATATCCAAGCATCTTGCAAGTGTTAATGGAAGTGGTTTGTAGTTGTTTGGTAACAAAGGCTTACCTTTCCTATAAATTGGCTTCATTACACCCCATTTAACCAACCATTGTTCTGGTGTCTTACCAGTATAAAATATTATTTTGAAGAATTTAAGCTAAACAGTCATCTTTTCGCCTTATAATGCCGACGTGCCGTCAAATTTTAACTCATTCCCTTTCAGGTTGACACAAGCCGACTTGGCGAGGTTCCTAGCTGTCGGACGGGCGCTCGTCTGAGTGATTGGACCCAAGCCGGGTCGGGTGGTCCCTTCCGGCGTTTCCCTCGCCGGCTGCTCCCGGGCCAAAATCCGCCTTTGTCCGGCGCAGGCGCACTCGTGGATTTTGGGGTTACGCGAAAAGCAAATGTTTCCCAGGGACCTTTTTTATTTGTATTTATTTATTTATTCTCTCTCTCTCTCTCTCTCTCTCTCTCTCTCTCTCTCTCTCTCTCTCTCTCTCTCTCTCTCTCTCTCATATGATCAGTGAAAAGTAAATAGTATATATCATCCTGTTCAAAAAGACAACACTAAATATTGGAAAAACTTGGACACTTTTAATTTACTCAATAGATGTACTTTTGACAAAATCGTCAATTCTCACACAAGATCATCCAAACACAGCTGCCAGATCTCTCAATCCACATTTCATCTTACTCTATGAAAGCTGCTGGCCGAACGACTGATTCTGATTTGGTGTGGTTGTTGTTGACATCCTGTAGGCTGGCGCCAGCACTCTCAGAGTTGCAAAGTAGTTCTTTCTGAAACCAGTTCAGACTTCAGATAAAATAATATCCATTTACTTCAATGAAAGTAGTGAATATATTGTCAACAAGAAAAGTAAAAAATAATATCCAAGCATCTTGCAAGTGTTAATGGAAGTGGTTTGTAGTTGTTTGGTAACAAAGGCTTACCTTTCCTATAAATTGGCTTCATTACACCCCATTTAACCAACCATTGTTCTGGTGTCTTACCAGTATAAAATATTATTTTGAAGAATTTAAGCTAAACAGTCATCTTTTCGCCTTATAATGCCGACGTGCCGTCAAATTTTAACTCATTCCCTTTCAGGTTGACACAAGCCGACTTGGCGAGGTTCCTAGCTGTCGGACGGGCGCTCGTCAATATGACACAAATACGATGTTGTAGTGATACACATGACATGATCAATATGACACAAATACGATGTTGTAGTGATACACATGACATCATCAATATGACACAAATGCGATGTTGTAGCGATACACATGACATCATCAATATGACACAAAAACGATGTTGTAGTGATACACATGACATGATCAATGTGACACAAATACGATGCTGTAGCGAAAAATATGGCTTGATCAATATGACACAAATACGATGTTGTAGTGATACACATGACATGATGAATATGACACAAATACGATGTTGTAGCGATACACATGACATGATCAATATGACACAAATACGATGTTGTAGCGATACACATGACATCATCAATATGACACAAATACGATGTAGCGATACAAATGACATGATCAATGTGACACAAATACGATGTAGCGATACACATGACATCATCAATATGACACAAATACGATGTTGTAGTGATACACATGACATGATCAATATGACACAAATACGATGAGTGTGATCCAGTGATTGATATCACGGGCATCGATCCACGCAATTGGGATACCATGACATGCATCAACCAAGTCAGCGAGCCTGACCACCCGATCCCGTTAGTCGCCTTTTTCGACAAGCATAGTCACCTTTAACGGCAAGCATGGTTTGCTGAAGACATATTCTACCCTGGACGAGTGACTGGGTTTAATGCCGCACAGAATAGTACAATATTATAACGGCATGTCAACTTGGTGTTGGAGGGAGCGTGGAGAAAATAATTGTCTAATATTTGGTGTATGGTTTGTTTGTTTGTTTGTTTGTTGTTTAACGCCGCACTCCAGCATTCCAGCTATATAACGGCGGTCTGTAAATAATTAAGTCTGGAGCAGACAATTCAGTGAATGATATCACGTGCATCGATCCCCGCAATGTTGATACGATGAAATGCATCAACCAAGTCAGCGAGACTGACCACCCGATTCCGTTAGTCGCCTCTTATGACAAGCATGAGTTGCTGAAGACCAATTATAACCCGGATCTTCATTGGTCGGGTAGTAAACAGTAGTAAACAAATCGTGGAAAAAGGAGAGTATCATATGTCAAGCAATTTAGTGTCAAGTTCAGTGTAAATTTCTAACCAGGTTATCATAAATAAATAAGCCAAAAAACATCAACGACAAACTAACAATGAAAAATATATGTATAGATCCCTGAAAATCGGTGATAACACAAGGGTTTCGTTTAAAAAAACGTGTTCGTTATACAATGCTGAAGTTCACAGGTTAAATTTTAAAGGTCCTATCACCCTGAAATCCATACTTTCACTAGGGACAAGTGCTGTGTTTCCACAACTTTATTTCCTAGCCTTTGTTACGTGTACAAGATCGTGTCAGCGTATCTACATACCCACATATAAGGTATGATTTTACGCCGCTTTTATCAGTCATTCCATCATTATAAAAATGAACAAAATCAACGAACTTCACAAATCGGACACAGTAGGTATCGATAACAAAGTAGCAAGTGAAGTACTGTGCGGTAAAGAAGCATGGCTGGCCAGTCTCCCACCTTGTGGATATGCTTCTTCAACTGATGAGGAGATACAGGATGAGAGGAGGAAGCTGTTCTCAGAGGAGATACAGGAGGAGAGGAGGAAGCTGTTCTCAGAGGAGATACAGGAGGAGATGATGAAGCTGTTCTCAGAGGAGATACAGGAGGAGAGGATGAAGCTAATTCCAGAGGAGATACAGGATGAGAGGAGGAAGATGTTCCCAGAGGAGATACAGGAGGAGAGGAGGAAGCTGTTCTCAGAGGAGATACAGGATGAGAGGATGAAGCTAATTCCAGAGGAGATACAGGATGAGAGGAGGAAGATGTTCCCAGAGGAGATACAGGAGGAGAGGAGGAAGCTGTTCTCAGAGGAGATCCGGGAGGGGAGGATGAAGCTGTTCCCAGAGGAGATACAGGATCAGAGGATGAAGCTGTTCTCAGAGGAGATACAGGATGAGAGGAGGAAGCTGTTCTCAGAGGAGATACGGGATGAGAGGATGAAGCTGTTCTCAGAGGAGATACAGGATGAGAGGAGGAAGCTGTTCCCAGAGGAGATACGGGGGAAGAGGATGAAGCTGTTCCCAGAGGAGATACAAGAGGAGAGGATGAAGCTGTTCCAAGAGGAGATACGGGATGAGAGGATGAAGCTGTTCTCAGAGGAGATACAGGATGAGAAGATGAAGCTGTTCCCAGAGGAGATACGGGGGAAGAGGATGAAGCTGTTCCCAGAGGAGATACAGGATGAGAGGAGGAAGCTGTTCCCAGAGGAGATACGGGGGAAGAGGAGGAAGCTGTTCCAAGAGGAGATACGGGATGAGAGGATGAAGCTGTTCTCAGAGGAGATACGGGATGAGAGGATGAAGCTGTTCTCAGAGGAGATACAGGATGAGAGGAGGAAGCTGTTCCCAAAGGAGATACAGGATGAGAGGATGAAGCTGTTCCAAGAGGAGATACAGGATGAGAGGAGGAAGCTGTTCCAAGAGGAGATACGGGATGAGAGGATGAAGCTGTTCTCAGAGGAGATACAGGATGAGAAGATGAAGCTGTTCCCAGAGGAGATACGGGATGAGAGCTTGAAGCTGTTCTCAGAGGAGATCCAGGATGAGAAGATGAAGCTGTTCCCAGAGGAGATACGGGGGAAGAGGATGAAGCTGTTCCCAGAGGAGATACAGGAGGAGAGGATGAAGCTGTTCTCAGAGGAGATACAGGATGAGAGGAGGAAGCTGTTCCCAAAGGAGATACAGGATGAGAGGATGAAGCTGTTCCAAGAGGAGATACAGGATGAGAGGAGGAAGCTGTTCCAAGAGGAGATACGGGATGAGAGGATGAAGCTGTTCTCAGAGGAGATACAGGATGAGAAGATGAAGCTGTTCCCAGAGGAGATACGGGATGAGAGCTTGAAGCTGTTCTCAGAGGAGATACAGGATGAGAAGATGAAGCTGTTCCCAGAGGAGATACGGGGGAAGAGGATGAAGCTGTTCTCAGAGGAGATACAGGAGGAGAGGACGAACCTGTTCCAAGAGGAGATCCAGAGGGGAGGAGGAAGCTGTTCTCAGAGGAGATACAGGAGGAGAAGATGAAGTTGTTCCCAGAGGAGATACAGGAGGAGAAAATGAAATTGTTCCCAGAGGAGATACAGGATGAGAGGAGGAAGCTGTTCCCAGAGGAGATCCAGGAGGGGAAGACAAAGCTCTTCTCAAAGGAGAAACAGGATCAGAGGAGGAAGCTGTTCCCAGAGGTGATACAGGATGAGAGGAGGAAGCTGTTCCCAAAGGAGATACAGGATGAGAGGATGAAGCTGTTCCAAGAGGAGATACAGGATGAGAGGAGGAAGCTGTTCCAAGAGGAGATACGGGATGAGAGGATGAAGCTGTTCTCAGAGGAGATACAGGATGAGAAGATGAAGCTGTTCCCAGAGGAGATACGGGGGAAGAGGATGAAGCTGTTCCCAGAGGAGATACAGGAGGAGAGGATGAACCCGCTCTCAGGCGGGATACGGGATGAGAGGATGAAGCTGTTCTCAGAGGAGATACAGGATGAGAGGATGAAGCTAATTCCAGAGGAGATACAGGATGAGAGGAGGAAGATGTTCTCAGAGGAGATACAGGATGAGAGGATGAAGCTTATTCCAGAGGAGATACAGGATGAGAGGAGGAAGATGTTCCCAGAGGAGATACAGGAGGAGAGGATGAAGCTGTTCCCAGAGGAGATACAGGATGAGAGGATGAAGCTGTTCCCAGAGGAGATACGGGATGAGAATTTGAAGCTGTTCTCAGAGGAGATACAGGATGAGAGGATGAAGCTTTACCAGAGGAGATACAAGAGGAGAGGATGAAGCTGTTCTGAGAGGAGATACAGGAGGAGAGGATGAAGCTAATTCCAGAGGAGATACAGGATGAGAGGATGAAGCTGTTCTCAGAGGAGATACAGGATGAGAGGATGAAGCTAATTCCAGAGGAGATACAGGCTGAGAGGAGGAAGATGTTCCCAGAGGAGATACAAGAGGAGAGGATGAAGCTGTTCCAAGAGGAGATACGGGATGAGAGGATGAAGCTGTTCTCAGAGGAGATACAGGATGAGAGGAGGAAGCTGTTCCCAAAGGAGATACAGGATGAGAGGATGAAGCTGTTCCAAGAGGAGATACAGGATGAGAGGAGGAAGCTGTTCCAAGAGGAGATACGGGATGAGAGGATGAAGCTGTTCTCAGAGGAGATACAGGATGAGAAGATGAAGCTGTTCCCAGAGGAGATACGGGATGAGAGCTTGAAGCTGTTCTCAGAGGAGATACAGGATGAGAAGATGAAGCTGTTCCCAGAGGAGATACGGGGGAAGAGGATGAAGCTGTTCCCAGAGGAGATACAGGAGGAGAGGATGAAGCTGTTCTCAGAGGAGATACAGGATGAGAGGAGGAAGCTGTTCCCAAAGGAGATACAGGATGAGAGGATGAGGCTGTTCCAAGAGGAGATACAGGATGAGAGGAGGAAGCTGTTCCAAGAGGAGATACGGGATGAGAGGATGAAGCTGTTCTCAGAGGAGATACAGGATGAGAAGATGAAGCTGTTCCCAGAGGAGATACGTGATGAGAGCTTGAAGCTGTTCTCAGAGGAGATACAGGATGAGAAGATGAAGCTGTTCCCAGAGGAGATACGGGGGAAGAGGATGAAGCTGTTCTCAGAGGAGATACAGGAGGAGAGGATGAACCTGTTCCAAGAGGAGATCCAGAGGGGAGGAGGAAGCTGTTCTCAGAGGAGATACAGGATGAGAGGACGAACCTGTTCCAAGAGGAGATCCAGAGGGGAGGAGGAAGCTGTTCTCAGAGGAGATACAGGAGGAGAAGATGAAGTTGTTCCCAGAGGAGATACAGGAGGAGAAAATGAAATTGTTCCCAGAGGAGATACAGGATGAGAGGAGGAAGCTGTTCCCAGAGGAGATCCAGGAGGGGAAGACAAAGCTCTTCTCAAAGGAGATACAGGATCAGAGGAGGAAGCTGTTCCCAGAGGTGATACAGGATGAGAGGAGGAAGCTGTTCCCAAAGGAGATACAGGATGAGAGGATGAAGCTGTTCCAAGAGGAGATACAGGATGAGAGGAGGAAGCTGTTCCAAGAGGAGATACGGGATGAGAGGATGAAGCTGTTCTCAGAGGAGATACAGGATGAGAAGATGAAGCTGTTCCCAGAGGAGATACGGGGGAAGAGGATGAAGCTGTTCCCAGAGGAGATACAGGAGGAGAGGATGAACCCGCTCTCAGGCGGGATACGGGATGAGAGGATGAAGCTGTTCTCAGAGGAGATACAGGATGAGAGGATGAAGCTAATTCCAGAGGAGATACAGGATGAGAGGAGGAAGATGTTCTCAGAGGAGATACAGGATGAGAGGATGAAGCTTATTCCAGAGGAGATACAGGATGAGAGGAGGAAGATGTTCCCAGAGGAGATACAGGAGGAGAGGATGAAGCTGTTCCCAGAGGAGATACAGGATGAGAGGATGAAGCTGTTCCCAGAGGAGATACGGGATGAGAATTTGAAGCTGTTCTCAGAGGAGATACAGGATGAGAGGATGAAGCTTTACCAGAGGAGATACAAGAGGAGAGGATGAAGCTGTTCTGAGAGGAGATACAGGAGGAGAGGATGAAGCTAATTCCAGAGGAGATACAGGATGAGAGGATGAAGCTGTTCTCAGAGGAGATACAGGATGAGAGGATGAAGCTAATTCCAGAGGAGATACAGGATGAGAGGAGGAAGATGTTCCCAGAGGAGATACAGGAGGAGAGGATGAAGCTGTTCCCAGAGGAGATACAGGATGAGAGGATGAAGCTGTTCCCAGAGGAGATACGGGATGAGAGCTTGAAGCTGTTCTCAGAGGAGATACAGGATGAGAGGATGAAGCTGTTCCCAGAGGAGATACATGATGATAGGAGGAAGCTGTTCCCAGAGGAGATACAAGAGGAGAGGATGAAGCTGTTCTCAGAGGAGATACGGGATGAGAGGATGAAGCTGTTCTTAGAGGAGATACAGGATGAGAGGACGAACCTGTTCCAAGAGGAGATCCAGAGGGGAGGAGGAAGCTGTTCTCAGAGGAGATACAGGAGGAGAAGATGAAGTTGTTCCCAGAGGAGATACAGGAGGAGAAAATGAAATTGTTCCCAGAGGAGATACAGGATGAGAGGAGGAAGCTGTTCCCAGAGGAGATCCAGGAGGGGAAGACAAAGCTCTTCTCAGAGGAGATACAGGATCAGAGGAGGAAGCTGTTCCCAGAGGTGATACAGGATGAGAGGAGGAAGCTGTTCCCAAAGGAGATACAGGATGAGAGGATGAAGCTGTTCCCAGAGGTGATCCAAGGGGGGAGGAGGAAGCTCTTCTCAGATGAGATACAGGATGAGAGGATGAAGCTGTTCCCAGGGGAGATACAGTGAGTGAGTGAGTGAGTGAGTGAGTTGGGTTTAACGCTGCTTTTAACAGCATTCCATTTATATCGCGGCGTGTCAGCTTAATGTGGGAGGAAAGCCCGAAGTGATGCAGGTCTCAGACGTTTACCACTTCGGTGAAACCCACGAGCACGGGTATGGTGCTGACAAACCTAGAAACATATTTGGGGCGAACCGGGATTCGAACCCACAATCATAGGTTTCTGGCGTGTCCAGGGACGCAACTCTGCACAGCGAATCGCGGCGCCTTAGACGACTGGGCCACCCGTGCCCCCAGAGGAAATACAGGATGAGAGGAGGAAGATGTTCCCAGAGGAGATGCAGGATGAGAAGAGGAAGCTGTTCCCCGAGGAGATACAGGATGAGAGGAGGAAGCTGTTCTCAGAGGAAATACGGGAGGAGAGGATGAAGCTGTTCCCAGAGGAGATACAGGATGAGAGGAGGAAGCTGTTCTCAGAGGAGATACAGGATGAGAGGAGGAAGCTGTTCCCAGAGGAGATACAGGAGGAGATGATGAAGCTGTTCTCAGAGGAGATACAGGATGGGAGGATGAAGCTGTTCCCAGAGGAGATACAGGAGGAGAGGAGGAAGCTGTTCTCAGAGGAGATAAAGGATGAGAGGAGGAAGTTGTTCTCAGAGGAGATACAGGAGGAGATGATGAAGCTGTTCTCAGAGGAGATACAGGGGGAGAGGATGAAGCTGTTCCCAGAGGAGATACAGGATGAGAGGATGAAGCTGTTCTCAGAGGAGATACAGGATGAGAGTATAAAGCTGTTCCCAGAGGCGATACAGGATGAGAGGATAAAGCTGTTCTCAGAGGAGATACAGGATGAGAGGAGGAAGCTGTTCTCAGAGGAGATACAGGAGGAGATGATGAAGCTGTTCTCAGAGGAGATACAGGGGGAGAGGATGAAGCTGTTCCCAGAGGAGATACAGGATGAAAGGATGAAGCTGTTCTCAGAGGAGATACAGGATGAGAGGATGAAGCTGTTCCCAGAGGCGATACAGGATGAGAGGATAAAGCTGTTCTCAGAGGAGATACAGGATGAGAGGATGAAGCTGTTCCCAGAGGAGATACGGGATGAGAGCTTGAAGCTGTTTCCAGAGGAGAAACAGGACGAGAGGATGAACCTGCTCTCAGAGGAGATACAGGATGAGAGGATGAAGCTGTTCCCAGAGGAGATACGGGATGAGAGCTTGAAGCTGTTTCCAGAGGAGATACGTGACGAGAGGATGAACCTTCTCTCAGAGGAGATACAGGATGAGAGGAGGAAGCTGTTCTCAGAGGAGATACAGGAGGAGAGGAGGAAGCTGTTCTCAGAGGAGATACAGGAGGAGATGATGAAGCTGTTCTCAGAGGAGATACAGGAGGAGAGGATGAAGCTGTTCTCAGAGGAGATAAAGGATGAGAGGAGGAAGCTGTTCTCAGAGGAGATACAGGAGGAGATGATGAAGCTGTTCTCAGAGGAGATACAGGATGAGAGGAGGAAGCTGTTCCCAGAGGAGATACAGGATGAGAGGATGAAGCTGTTCTCAGAGGAGATACAGGATGAGAGGATGAAGCTGTTCCCAGAGGCGATACAGGATCAGAGGATAAAGCTGTTCTCAGAGGAGATACAGGATGAGAGGATGAAGCTGTTCCCAGAGGAGATACGGGATGAGAGCTTGAAGCTGTTTCCAGAGGAGAAACAGGACGAGAGGATGAACCTGCTCTCAGAGGAGATACAGGATGAGAGGATGAAGCTGTTCCCAGAGGAGATACGGGATGAGAGCTTGAAGCTGTTTCCAGAGGAGATACGTGACGAGAGGATGAACCTGCTCTCAGAGGAGATACGGGATGAGAGGAGGAAGCTGTTCTCAGAGGAGATACAGGAGGAGAGGATGAAGCTAATTCCAGAGGAGATACAGGATGAGAGGAGGAAGCTGTTCCCAGAGGAGATACAAGAGGAGAGAATGAAGCTGTTCTCAGAGGAGATGCGGGATGAGAGGATGAAGCTGGTCTCAGAGGAGATACAGGACGAGAGGAGGAACCTGCTCTCAGAGGAGGTACAGGATAAGAGGAGGAAGCTGTTCCCAGAGGAGATACAGGAGGAGAGGATGAAGCTGTTCCCAGAGGAGATACAGGATGAGAGGAGGAAGCTGTTCCCAGAGGAGATACAAGAGGAGAGGATGAAGCTGTTCTCAGAGGAGATGCGGGATGAGAGGATGAAGCTGTTCTCAGAGGAGATACAGGATGAGAGGAGGAACCTGTTCCAAGAGGAGATCCAGGAGGGGAGGAGAAAGCTGTTCTGAGAGGAGATACGGGAGGCGAGGATGAAGCTAATTCCAGAGGAGATACAGGATGAGAGGATGAAGCTGTTCTCAGATGAGATACAGGATGAGAGGATGAAGCTGTTCCTAGAGGAGATACAGGAGGAGAGGATGAAGCTAATTCCAGAGGAGATACAGGATGAGAGGAGGAAGCTGTTCTCAGAGGAGATACAGGATGAGAGGAGGAAGCTGTTCTCAGAGGAGATGCAGGATGAGAGGATGAAGCTGTTCCCCGAGGAGATACAGGATGAGAGGAGGAAGCTGTTCCCAGAGGAGATACGGGATAAGAGGATGTAGCTGTTCTCAGAGTGGATACAGACTGAGAGGAGGAAGCTGTTCTCAGAGGAGATACAGGATGAGAGGATGAAGCTGTTCTCAGAGGAGATACAGGATGAGAGGATGAAGCTGTTCTCAGAGGAGATACAGGATGAGAGGATGAAGCTGTTCCCAGAGGCGATACAGGATGAGAGGATAAAGCTGTTCTCAGAGGAGATACGGGATGAGAGGAGGAAGCTGTTCTCAGAGGAGATACAGGAGGAGAGGATGAAGCTGTTCCCATAGGAGATACAGGATGAGAGGAGGAAGCTGTTCCCAGAGGAGATACAAGAGGAGAGAATGAAGCTGTTCTCAGAGGAGATGCGGGATGAGAGGATGAAGCTGGTCTCAGAGGAGATACAGGACGAGAGGATGAACCTGCTCTCAGAGGAGGTACAGGATAAGAGGAGGAAGCTGTTCCCAGAGGAGATACAGGAGGAGAGGATGAAGCTGTTCCCAGAGGAGATACAGGATGAGAGGAGGAAGCTGTTCCCAGAGGAGATACAAGAGGAGAGGATGAAGCTGTTCTCAGAGGAGATGCGGGATGAGAGGATGAAGCTGTTCTCAGAGGAGATACAGGATGAGAGGAGGAACCTGTTCCAAGAGGAGATCCAGGAGGGGAGGAGAAAGCTGTTCTGAGAGGAGATACGGGAGGCGAGGATGAAGCTAGTTCCAGAGGAGATACAGGATGAGAGGATGAAGCTGTTCTCAGATGAGATACAGGATGAGAGGATGAAGCTGTTCCCAGAGGAGATACAGGAGGAGAGGATGAAGCTCATTCCAGAGGAGATACAGGATGAGAAGAGGAAGCTGTTCTCAGAGGAGATACAGGATGAGAGGAGGAAGCTGTTCTCAGAGGAGATGCAGGATGAGAGGATGAAGCCGTTGCCCGAGGAGATACAGGATGAGAGGAGGAAGCTGTTCCCAGAGGAGATACGGGATAAGAGGATGAAGCTGTTCTCAGAGTGGATACAGACTGAGAGGAGGAAGCTGTTCTCAGAGGAGATCCGGGAGGGGAGGACGAAGCTGTTCTCAGAGGAGATACAGGATGAGAGGATGAAGCTGTTTCCAGAGGAGATACAGGATGAGAGGAGGAAGCTGTTCTCAGAGGTGATACAGGATGAGAGGATGAAGCTGATTCTAGAGGATGTTAATCAGTATAATACACGTACCTGTAACAGAGAGACGATGGTGGGTCAACATGACAAAAGATATATGTACCTTAGTATAATACACGTACCTGTAACAGAGATACGATGGCGGGTCAACATGACAGAAGATATATGTACCTTAGTATAATACACGTACCTGTAACAGAGAGACGATGGTGGGTCAACGTGACAGAAGATATATGCACCTCAACCTTAAACATGAAGCTGTAACAGAGAGATGGCGAAGTAACTTTGAACTGTCATGCTTTACCTTTGTGAATAATTCGGCAATAAGTTTAGGGAGGGCACTTCATGTGTAAGGTTTCAGAGTTTACACAAGCATCTATTTCATGTTGAGACTAAGTTGAGAGAACGGCATGTTCTGTTGGCTGGGTGTTTATGAACATGGGCAACAATTCATGCGGTAAGGGTTTGTTTGGCTTTTTAGCGATCACGTTGTGTATTATTGTGATGTTTGGTATTCTTTTCAACAACAGCTCACCTTGTCTCACAGTTGCTTTCCTTTAGTGGGATTAATTGCTTCTGTCTTCTTTTTGTGAGGATTCTTTTAGCTCATCTGATATATTTACAGCGTTATTTTAGTCAATGATATGCAGAACGGACACCTACATACAAAATGTCAGTTTGTTTGTTTGTTGTTTAACACCCCACTCAGCAATATTCCGGCTATATGACGAATGACTGTAAATAATCGAGTCGGGACCAGACAATCCAGTGATTGATATCATGAGCATCGATTCACGCAATTGGGATACGATGACATGCATCAACCAAGTCAGCGAGCCTGACCACCCGATCCCGTTGATCCAGGTCCAGATTCGATTATTTACAGACCGCCGTCATATAGCTGGAATAGTGCGGCGTTAAACAACAAACGAACGAACGAACGAACAGTACATTATCAACACTGATACTGCAGCACAAAACATTATAGAACTTTCAATATGTTGCAACTGTAAGTTCAATATTTCATCATGATGCGTTCCTGAGACGTACCTCAAACGACTGTGGGTCGTGTGTTCCTGTGTTGGAACCCCATATTTAACATAATATATATTTCTTGGTTTGTCAGCATCATGCTCTTTTATTTTAGGGTAAGGAAATCTAATAGTTCTAAATACTATTACACATGCAAAGTGTCAAATGGTATTTTGTAGAAACTCTTCTCCTAGCCATGAAGAAGCGTAGCACCTATTTAAAGAAAGCGCCAATACCGTGGCTATATTGTTAGCTGCATTGTATACCTCAATTCAACATCAACTTATAATGTGTGTTGCATGCTGTACTCAACGTTATAGGGTTAGGGTTAGGGTTAAGGTTAGGGTTAGGGTTAGGGTTAGGGTTAGGCCTTGTACTTCGACACGGACAGCGTCTTATACATCAACCCGGGAAATGGAATCCAGAGCTCGGCAATACGTAGGGAAAGTTTGCAGACGAACTGAACTTAAACTCCATCAAGACATTTGTTTCAGGAGGTCAAAAAAACTATGCCTATGAGTTAATGAACCCATACCCGATGGAATGCGCAGCATGACCTGCAAAGTGCGAGGGTTCACCTTAAATTAAAGAAACCAACTTTGACACCATGAAAGGACTGATTGAGGGTCAACGGTCTGGGGAGATGGAGAAGAAAATCAGGTTGCATCACCCCCATAAGATTGTCCGTAAAGGACGTCAGCAAGGGAACGATCATGTGACCCCACCCTAAAAAAAAACTACCGCACCGTTTACGACAAGCGACGCATCGTCTACGATTCATCCACAGACCTGCCTGTCGACACGCTCCCCTTTGGATACAGAGACTAAACCATTTCATGATGCTCTTCACGCTGTGTTGGCTGTTGACGTTTTATCTTGAAGACAGACGTGTTCGGAGAAAGTACCATGCCCTGCTCACTTCCATCCCACGGACTGAAAATGGATCGACATACATCCCGAGAGACTGAAAAACAGGATCGAAATTTGACCAACGACACGCTAGGGTTTTGGACCAATCAGAGACCGTCCCCGCGCTGGGTGGCCGTCTGATTGGTCGAAACACAGTTGTGCTTTCTCTCCGATGGTACAAGCCTGACCCTATGGAAAAGAAACACAAACGGGTATGCCACATGGCAACCATGGCGTGAGTTCGAGGTCGTTTTAAACCATGAACATCAAAGTCTGATGACCGATGCAGGGCGTCTTGAAATGGAGGACATCATGGAAGATCAGTTAGCTCTGCATACCCTGATGCTGAGATCGAGTGCCTTGTATGCATCTTTCCATGCCACGATAGGTTAGAAGGTAAAGACCGGCATGGAGACATTGCCTCCGGGGTATGCCATTTGGATCCCCACCATGAGAGTACGTGTGGAAAAGGAAAGGAAACAGGCTGAACCATCCACTCTACTCGACACCCCCCAAAAACAGCAACACGGCGGACTGAACCATCATCCACAACAACAACAACAACAGCAACAACACCTACAGCAGCACCCACAGCAACAGAGGCACTAGCAGTAACACCCTCACTAGCAGCACTTGTCGCAGCACTAACCGCAGCGGAAGAAGCAGCATTCTTCGCAGTGGCGGAAGCAGCAGCAGCATCAACACCCACAGCAGCAGAAACAGCAGCATAACTCGTCACAGCACTTACTGCAGCGACAGCTGCTGCAGCAGCAGCACTCTTCGCAGCAGTAACATCAGCACCATCAGCATCAGCAGCAGAAGCAGACCTGTGTGATGACTGTGGCGAGGGTTGTTGTCTGCCCTTTTTCGCATTGTTTCGCATTGTTTCGCATTGTTCGCATTGTATCTTAGTTTAAGTTGTTATTGTTCATCATTAAACAGTGATTGATTGAACTGACTCTTTGTGTGATTGATCTCAACTCCGATAGGGTGCCAAACCCTAGGGTAGAGGCTGAGTTGAGATGTTGTCTGTCTGTCTGTCTGTCTGTCTGTCTGTGCCCTTGGTCGCCTGTTTTCGAGATCCGAGATGCCGATCATGTATGTGCCGAACCTATTAGATGAGGAGAGGAAACTTTCATAAAAGCAGGCGAACCCACTGACCTTCCTTCAGTTGAGTCACAGCCATCATGGGGCAAAGACGGTCTATGAATACCCTTCCCACCATCCCAAGATGTCCCCGATACTGAGTGGGTGTCTGAAAAGGTGTGAGAACAAGGGAGAAAAAAGACACTCTTTATGAACGACACATTGCAACTCGATGACATTCTGGAGGCACGACCTTCTCCTTCTTACACCTTGAGTCATCCTTCTCATCCTGGCTATGATTCATTTCAACAACGTCAGAGGTCTTTTCAAACGTGACCTTATGACATGGCCATGGCTGGCTATTTCTATCAAGGACGAGGTGACCGTGTTATCTGTTATTGCTGCCGGGTGACACTCTGCCAATGGGAAGCCACAGACAAAACCTGGAAAGAACATCTGAAGCACGCCAAAGTCCCCTGTGAATACTTGTGTGTGTTTTGTCCTGCTGGAGAAGTGAACAAA